GACTAAAACCTTTTAGGGTTTATTAATATCAAATATTAATTAGAGTTATATACGATATATGTTAAGCAGAGTCTAGACCGGCAGTTCGGGTGTAGGATATACTTGCTTTACTTTACGAGGTGAGTCTTCCCACTATACTTACATGAGTGGTAATTACTGTGCGATCGGAGGGTCTTATTTGTGTTTTTGACCGAAGGGTCTTATGTGCTTATACTGAGTTATTTGATATCATGCATTCTGTCTTTGTGAATTATGCTGTTATATTACTCTGTATTTATTCTGACTTATAACAGGAGGGTCCATACCTAGTGGGGAGACCGATGTGTCTTCACCGAGACACAGGACCGGAGGGTTCATAACGAGCTGTGAAACTAAAGGGTTTTCAGTGAGACACATGACCGGAGGGTCCTTATCGAGATATAGCCATGAGAGACTAATTATTTGTGTGTGTGTGGTATTTTGGGGAAGTCAATAAGCTTTGTGCTTCCAATGTTTGTGTGACATGTGTTTCAGATACATCTCAAGATCGCAGGAAAGAATTGGCATGACTGTACACACCAGCTTGATGATTTGTGTTTATGAGGATTCTGGGATATTTAATAAATAATTTACGAATGTTCTGTGTTTTGGAAAAAAATCAAATTGGCTTGATAATATTAAACTATGTTTGGCTGGAGTTTTTGAAATTTGAAAATTTTGTTTGAAATTTTAAAGTGTTAAAAGTTGGTACCAGAGCCTTGGTTTAAGGGATTCAGATGTACCCTCAGGTATGTATGGACTCAAACTAAGAAGTTGAGAAGACTACTGAGAGAGTAGTTAGATATCCATGAGGGACAGAGTACTTGTGAATTAAGATCCTAAGAGGAGGACTTGGGACATATACGGGATTTGTGTGGAAGGTAGTATTGGGCCTGTACTACTGAAAGCACCAGATCCATATGCGACTCAAGTAAGAATATTAGGGTATTAAGGATCATGTAGGAGCGTGTAAATGTGTGTGCATGTACTTAGCATGTTCCTGACAATTTATGTGTTTGTGTTCCAGAAAGAGACTATGGTGGTTACCCGAGGTTTAGGCTCCAGCAACCCGAAGAGGGCGAGTATCAGTGACGATGAGATCCGCATGATTATTGCAGATGAGGTGGCCACATCTATCCGAGAGGCCATTCCAGAGATGTTTGGGTCTATTAAGACCACGCTGATTGAGACTTTTGACGAGCGATATGCTGCTCTCACTAAGGTTGCTGTTGTCGTAGCCACCGTAACTCTTGCCTCTACAAGGCCACATAGTGGTGATTCGATGATGTTTCGAGAGTTCAGAAACATGAAGCCACCAGAGTTTGATGGGACCCAGGACCCGATAGCTTCGATGAGATGTATCTCTGATGTTGAGGGATGCTTTTATACTTGTTCATGACCTAAGAACCTGAAGGTTCGATTTACGCTAAACCAGCTTCGCTTGGGGGGGGGGGGGAAGGACTGGTGGAAATTTGTGATGACTAATTACACTCCTGCAGATCATGCTGCAGTGACTTGGGAGAGGTTCACCCATCTATTTTAAGATGAGTTCGTTCCCCAGGTGGAGAGGGAACGGTTGACCAAGAAGTTTCTATTTCTCCAGAATAAAGACAGAGACGGTGACAGATATTACAAGGATGTTTCATGAGAAGGCGTTATTCTGCCCTGAGCACATGGCTATTAAGCAGGCACGTATGAGCCAACACTTGAGCATATTGAGGAAGGACATTCGATAGTTCGTTGCGAACTCATATTATCGGACATTGGATGAGCTACAGACCAATTCCAGGAGGAGGGAGATTGAGTTGGAGACTCAGACCAGGGAGGAGGAGAGAGTCTCATGGGAGAGACAGAAGACCAGAGCAGTCACAGCCGATGACCAAGCTGGCTAAGCCCAATAATTCTAGAGCACGAGGCCAGAAGGGCCGCACTTGTGGCAAATGTAGTAAGAGTCACGATGGATCTTGCCGATAGGGGACTTGCTACAAATACGGCAAGGGGCATATGGCGAAGGATTGCCCCAAGGGATTTTCGGTTTTGCTTAATTGCAACCAGACTGGCCATCCGAAGGTTGAGTTTCCTCAGCTTATACAAGGATCATCCCATGCCTCTGCTACTGCTACTTTGCGTGTTACTGATGGTTGGCCGGGAAAGGCCGAGGCTCCAACAGCTCGTAGGAAAGCTGTAACGCCCGTAGATTAGGGCTAGTCAATTTAGAGACGATAAGTGTCAAAAATGAATTTTTGATGAAAGATTATTTAAAATGAATAATCTTAACTAAGTTATAGTATATGTTACAAGGATTCCGTACATATAAAGAACGTTGAAATCCGGGTTATAACGAAGAAGTTATGACCTGTCGAAGTTTCACGACAAAACCGGCATGACGCTGAATGATGTAAAAAGTAAATTTACGTTAGAGTGATATTTAGTCTTAGCGGTCTAAATGAAAGTCGTAGATTTCGTTAAACCATGAGCATGCATAAAAAGAACGTCCAAATCTGACTTCGTATGAGGAAGTTATGATTTTTCTAAGTTTCGACTTAGCGGTATGCAACCCGAATACTCGATTTGAGATTGAGCGCTTATTAGCCGAAACAATCTAAACGATAATCAAAGATCTTGTCGATAGTAGTCCAACGGTAAAAAGACAGACAAAAACGGACGTCGGATGAAGAAGTTATGAATTTATAACGGAGTTTTCCTATCCCGGCCTACTAAAAATAATATAATAAAAATAAAGTCAAAATTAGCCGATGGAGTCTAAATGAAAATTATAGATCATAATCTCACCTACGCGTGGATATAAAAAAACGTCAAAAACGGAGCTCGTATGCGAAAGTTATGAATTTTTGAAGATCATGACACGCATACCAAAGCTTATCCGTTGCGTACGCCCAACGTAAGGCTTATTACGCCCAGCGTACCGAGTACGCCCAACATACCTGGATTTACGCCCAACGTAATCGAGGTTTCAGCACCCTATAAATAGATGTCGAAGGCTACCGATTTCTTTTGTTCAAACTCTTCCTTCTCTCTCATTTTTGCATCGTTTTGCGTGCAAGAAATATCCCGAAGCCCGATATCATTCCCGAGCCCTGAAGCAAGTTCTGAAGCCTCGAAGGTCCCGAGAAGAAAGATTCCTGAGCCAAAGCTCTGCCTGCGTGAAGCCCGGTTTTGAAGGAAAACATCTCGCTTTCGTCGCAAAAGATTATTTTAAGAGACGAGACGTTGTCCGATCATCGTCTTATTAAGTGAGTGTATAGTCACTTTCATCTTACACAAAGATATGAAGTATTTTATGAAATACATGCTATGTGTATATATATTGTTGTTTATATGTGTGAGTGTGTGGTTACTTCTTCTAACACATAAATATGAAGTATCTACAATGAAATACGTGTTGTGTGTTATGTATTGTTTGTTTATTTGAGATGGGTGTGGAATGGATGTTTTATATAGTTTTTTAATGATTTAAACCGTATATGTATTTTATATCTACAAAATATGATGGGTAGAACATGGGTAGATGAAATATTTGGTGACTATGATACATAGTGCCTATTGAGTAAACTTTGGTGACTACGAGACATAGTGCTTATTGAGTAAGCCTTGGTGATGATGCGACTTTGTGCCTATTGAGTAAGCTTTGGTGATGATGCGACTTCGTGCTTATTTGATAAACCTTGGTGACGATGTGACTTCGTGCCTGTTGAGTAAACCTTGGTGACTATGGGGTTAGCGCCGGATAGCTATGGATTTAGTATCTGATAGATAAACTTTGGCAACAATGGACTTTATGTCAATTCCTTAGTTCAATCCTTAGGAACGAATGAAGAAAGGATATTCGATTCTTAGGGTAAAACCTTAAGAAATAAAGAAGATAATGGGGATGGGTAATTGAATTGTTTGTTCGATGATTGAATATAATAAATATATTATTGTGGGTTGAAAACCCTATATGCTCACCAGGCTCTCAAGCCTGACCCACTCAGTTTTCTTTGCATTACAGATAATGGCATAAGAGTATAAGTTGGTGGACTTGACGAGAGATTTTGGATTATAGATCAGTAGTTATAAATGACTGTTGTAAGGTCTATTTTATATTGTTTTTGCTTTTGATCTGTATCGGAACATGATATCCCAAGGTTTTATTATTTTAAAAAATACATTGTCTTTGAGAAATATTTTGATAAATGATTATCATATTTTGTTTTTGGGACAAATTCCGCAACTATTGGAGAACCGGGCACTCAATTAGCATTAAGAACTTTTCATATCGGCGGAGTATTTACAGGGGTACTGCAGAACATGTAAGAGCCCCTTCTAATGGAAAAATAAAATTTAACGAGGATTTGGTTCATCCAACACGTACACGTCATGGACATCCCATATATATATATATATATATATATATATATATATATATATATATATATATATATATATATATATATATATATATATATATATATATATAGGAGTAGGATCAAATGAGAACACCTAAAAGGTTGAGAACGCGAGAACAGATCTGGACCATTTAATTATTTAGATCTAAGGTTATTATTAAACGAACGATTTATGATAAATTCTAAAACTACGGGCATTAAAGTGCAACTTTTAAATTGCCAGAAGGGCATAATAGGAATTGCAAAATTACCTATTTCCTACAATTTCTCACCCTCTCTCTTCTTTCCTTTCATAATCCCGTATCTTTATCTCCCTCGATCTCTCTCTAGGGTTTCAAAATAAGCGCCTCTCTCAATGAATTTGGGTCCCTTTTCTTTCCTCTCTTCCCATCGATCGCCACTACCGTCTTACCCTAACTTCAGGTTTGAATCCATGTATCAAATCAGTGACATTGGATTCCAGTCCCACGACAATCATTGACGATCTGACATCGGCTTTCGCTTCAGAAGAAGAAATTCCAGCGAAGATCAGCGCTAGGGTTAGGGTAAAGGTGTTGTTGATGAAAAGAAAAGATGAGGAAGGTATCGTATATGAAGCTTAAAGGTAGTCAAAACCTAAGGCAACGGTTACTTCTATCACCTCTCGCTTCAACACCGATTCTAATCGATGATATCCGTGCCGACGCCACCTGGCTTGGACTCCTTCCTCATGAGGTCTTGTTTCTCCACCTTCTCGAGACAATCTCCGATGACTGTCATGTCGAAATCAACGAAACTGGTAATCCTAGGTTTTCTCTTTCTTTTTCTAATTTCATGTTCCAATTTTTTGAATGTTCTTGTTTATATACTAGAAAAATAGAAATTGAAGAGAATATAGGGCTAATTTGTATTGTAGTTGAAGTTAACTCTATGTTCATTCAAAGTGAACGATAGTTTGAAATCGATTTACTCGTTGAATTGATAGGGATGAAGTTGAAATACAAACCTGGGATAGTGATGGGTAGGGGATATTTGGAGCATGATTGTGGATTTAGTAGATCAATTGGCTATTTTTTGGAAGCTTTGATTTTAATGGTTTTTTTTTTTTTTTTTTTTTTTTTTTTTTTTTTTTTTGGAAAAAACCCCTTTCCATTAAGCTCAAAGGTAACCTTAGACTCCCTTCAACCTTTTCATCTAATTTTCGTTCTATTGATTTACATCATCAGAAGTGTATTCATTTATGAATATAATTACAATTATAGAAATTCATATGTTTTTTGTTCAGTCTCTTCATTTACTAAATTTGCTTCATTTAATTAATTGTTAATTGTATTTAATTCTGATTTTGGGGTTTTCTATCAAGAACATGAAATGATTTTGGGGTTTTCTATCAAGAACATGAAATGATGAAGTATGAAATTGTTTCAGGAGTGAAGAAAGAAGAAAACCCCAAATCGGTGAAGGTGCTCCATATACTTCTTTCTTCGCTCCTGGAGAAAAAAAAACCCGACAAAAGGGGGTGTTTGGGTTGCTTGGTGTGTCATAAAACAGTGGGAGAAAACGTAGGGGGCTGTTGCCCTTGGCTAGCCGGAAACCACCAACAAACACCTCTAGTGGGGGTGTTTTTGTTGCACCTCAAAGACAGGAGAAAAAGAAGCGAGTGTGAGAGGAAATGGAAGAATGAAAAATTGTATTTATCTGTGAATAGCAGTGCATTCATGTGTGAATAACAGTGAATAAATAGCAGTGCATTCATGTGTGAATAACAGTGTATTTATTTGTGAATAACAGTGAATGAATGTATTTATTTATTATTAGAGGTATTCATTTATTCAATTCTGAATAACAAGGTACTTATTTGTTGATAGCAGTGTATTCATTTGTGAATAACAGTGTAAACATGTGTTAATGAGTATATTTATTTATGATTAGAGGTATTCTTTTTATGGAGAAATGATAATTTGTACAATCTTTTTATTTTCAACTGATTAAAAAAAGAAATTGGATTACTTGTAAATTGATGTATATTTATTTGTGATTGAAGTAGTATCAGGTTTGTTGAAAAAAAAAATCATTTATGAATACAAATGTACTAATTTGGTGTTCGATTTCTATTCATTTTTTTGAACAAAAAAAAATGTGAAATAGGAGAAAAAATTGATTTTTTTAAGAATTTTTTTCATTTTTAAAATAAATTTTGAGAAAAATGTTTTTTATATTTCATTAATAAGAAAAATAAAAAATTGAATATATATATATTTTTTTTGATAACTGATACTAAATTTAACGGAATTTGATTGAATTTTATTTTATTTTAATTTAAATATACAATTACTAGTAAACCCTTATATATTGATTGGTTCAGAATTGTTCTCATGTTCTTAACCTTTTAGATGTTCTTATTTGATCTCTCCCTCTATATATATATATATATATATATATATATATATATATATATATATATATATATATATATATATATATATATATATATATATATATATATATATATATATATATATGCGCAACGTGTGTTAGGTTAAACATATATATTCGAAATGAAAAGTTCTTCTTTTGTTATCATAACTGTAGTTACAACTTACAAGTCATTCAGAGACAAAGAGATCCCAACTCAAAAAGTAACTGCAAAGCGTTGACGATCGTTTCCTACATTGTATTTATTTACTGATATTTTAATATGCAAATACAAAAGTTATATTGTATTTGGGTTTTTAAGCAACTCAGTTACATTATCTAAGTAAAAATATTGGGAATGACATACGCCTAAGTAATATTGAAATCAAACATTTTCACATAAGGTTGGTGGAGTGGCTTCTACGTACTGTGAACAGTGGCGGAGTCAGAAATTTTGATATGGGTACAAAAATTGTTAATATATTATATGCAGTTATTCAATATCGGGCATCAAAAACATGTTATAATCTCTTTAGCTGGAAGTACAATAACATGAAATATGTTTACAAATAAATATATATATATATATATATATATATATATATATATATATATATATATATATATATATAAAACAATTTTTTGGGGGTATTGTAGTACTCCAACACGCCATCTAGCTCCGCCACTGCCCGTGACAAAAACCTACGTGGGCTCGGTGAACACCGGGCCACCAATTGGACATGTCAAGTTCGATGACCAAACTCAGTGGGTTTAAGCCGGTGTGAGAGAGAGAGAGAGGGGGTTGAGATTTTCAAACTTCAAAAAAAATATTATTGCTTTTTAACCCCTATTTTGATTTTTTTATTTTTATTTCAAAATTTACCGCCTTTTTAACCCTATATAAAATACTATTCAATATCACATTTCATACCACATTACCTACTTCAATTTTCACTGGAAAACTTTTATTTTTGTGATAAATGGTTTTCCCTTCCAACCCAAGAACTCAAAGAAAAAAAAAACACAAATTCAATCTCACATTCATCACATGCTTCCATCCAAAGTCAAAGTGATCGGCATATCTATTCACCTCCTAATTTTCACTATATCAGTGCTTACTACCCATATCGTATCCACAACCAACAACAATTCTAAAATCAACCTCAAGTGACATTCTCATCTCAAATTCAATCGCAAATGGAAAATAACTTCAATCCATTTGACCATCTTCCCGACCCGTCAATCCAATTCCAATCTCAAACCCAAACCCAATTCCAAACTCAATCACAACCCGAAGTCGTACCTAAAAGGGATTCTAAGCCAGAAGCGATTCGACTACAACCCAAGAAAACAAGAAAGGCAGCTCCACAACCATGGACTACGGAAGAAGAAACGGTGTTGGCTCGTGCGTGGGTGGGTGCTTCTGAAGATTCGAAGGTCGGAGAAAACCAAGACGCACCCACTTTTTTTCGGAAAATTACTAGGTTTTTTCTCGCAAAAATGAATCTAGGAGACTACAGGAAAAAGGACCAAGTTCACTTCAAGTGGAGAAACATCAACAAAGTTGTGATGAAGTTAAATGCGGTGTTTTCAACTGTCAAAAGACAATGGCAAAGTGGTTCAAATGATGAATCCATTTTGCAAAAAGCTCCATCACTTTACCGAACTCAAAAGGGACAGCTTTCAAATTTCATGTTTGGAATATCGTGAAGATGTCAAAAAGTGGAAAGTTATTGAAAGTTCGAAAACATTCACAGGTGATTCTGATAAAAGAACCAAAACTTATTAAGCGACTCATAGTCAATTGTCCGATGTGCATGTCCAAATTGACCTCAATAAAGATGAGCCTTTTAAGGTTCCAAGAGTCCAAGCGAAGTGAAAGGGAAAAACGAGGACAAGTGGTTCCGGTGACATCGAATATCTAACAACGAAAATGGACAACTTGAAGTCGATATTGGAGCAATACTTGGTGTCGCAAAAGAATTATCGTTAAAGGCCAAAAAGGAGATTGCGAAAAAATATAATATCTAGGTTTTCTTTATTTAAATTAATATGTATCGTGTTTTAATTTCTAGGTTTGTAATTTTAAATTCTATGGTGATTTTTGATGTGTTGTAATTTTATTTTTTAGTTTAATGAAATTTTAGGTTTTATATAAATAACTTTTTTGAAATTTTAAAATTTAATATTAATTAAATTTAGAAAAAAAATAGCATCGTAAGCATGGCAATCCATGGCCTCTAAATGTCAAAAATTTGAAGTAGTGTGACAAATCCTAGGTGGTACCTATGTGGATTATGGCACTGTAACGTCCCAAAATTTCTAAGTAAAAAATTTATTTTTCGACAACCAAAAGCCATTATTCATCCATCCATAAGAAAATCATAGTGTGAAAAGTATTCGAAACATCGGTGTACAATCATAAAGCATATAGTGCGGAAAAACTCTAGTGGGTGCAATGCAATCAAGCTGGGGCCTTCCCTTTCGAACCAGAAGTACCTGAAACTTTTAAACATACAAATTGTAAGTACAAAGCTTAGTGAGTTTTCCAAAATACCACATATCAAACATATTACTGGTCCCAAACCTAGGGGTATATCTCAATCCATGTGAATGCTATGATCCAACCTGTAACTTTCCAAAATCAAAATTATCATTTTTAAAAGACATTTTCATAAAACCATAAGATAGGCAAACATTGTTTTCAAAACAAATCCATAGAAATCTGAGTATCAAAATAATCTATCAAGACATAAATCAGAAGGAGGATGTGTATGATCATGTCTTCGCCTTGCCTAGATCATCTGAAGTACCTAAAAACATTGAAATCTACAACTGTAATCCAAAGCTTAGTGAGTTCCCCCAAAATACCCCACACAACAATACACATACAATGCATGCATACCTGAGCCTACAGTCTTCCTAGACCGCCTCACAATGCCTATAGGATTCCTGGACTGCTCCATCGAGCCTACGGTCTACTAGCCCGCCTCGCAAGGCCTACAGTAGTTGGACTGCTCCCTTGCGCCATGTAACATCCCAATTTTCAAGCCAAAAATTTCATTTTTAAATATGTCATTATAAAACCAACAGTGTAATAAAACATTGGTAATATCATGTCATGTCAAAACCAAAATAGAAATAATCAAACATGTTATCATAAAACAATATCAGAGTGTAATCCCAAGGATCTCATGTGCGGAAAACCATAGTGTGATGTGTTGCGATCAAGCCGGCTCCTTTCCTTTAAACACGAAGTACCTGAAACCAAAACTGAAAACCGTAACCACGAAGCTTAGTGAGTTCCCCAGAGCATACCCCACACAATCCACATAACCATATAATCATCATTAGTTATAACAACTACATAAATCATGTCAATTAGATAACTATATCAAACACATATACATATCAATCACATAGCCATGCATATAAACATATACGGATGTCATGGGCTCCCCCCAAGGTCTTAATGAAAGATGCCATGGGCTCCGCCCATGGTCTTACACCTAAGTGCCATGGGCTCCCCCCATGGTCTTTAATAGGAAAGTCATGGGCTCCCCCCACATGGTCTTACATCCATGTGCCATGGGCTCCCCCATGGTCTTTACCTGAAAAGTCATGGGCTCCCCCACATGCTCTTACATCCAAGTGCCATGGACTCCCCCCATGGTCTTTCATGCAAATATCACATAAACAAATAACATAGCACATAGCATATAACCAACTAGCATACCACATATCTCTACAACTGGTGTACCACGTATCATGAAATGGGCCGGCCTTGGTGCCTTAGACCCATTGGTATGGTGAGGAGACTCACCTGGAACTGCTGAAATCCTGCGGATGAAACTCTAGTTATTGGTTAACAGGCTCCCGAACTATCAACATCAACAATAGTAATTGGGTCCCAACACATAACCATAATACATACTTGAATAATTACTACATTACCCCAAGCTTGGCTTATTTAAGCCCAACAAGGCCCAATTCATAGGCCCAAAGCCAACTAGGAAATCGAAGCCCAACATATGGCCCAATTTTCCAAATTGGCTCAAGCCTATACATGGTCTTATTCTAAGGCCCAACATTATAGAATCATTAAGGCCTAAACTATGGCCTAATTTTCCAAATTGGGCCCAAGTCCCTTACATGGGCCTTACCCTAGGCCCATTAAACTATTCTAGACCATTTGCTTGATCTTGGATAGCCCATTTAATAACCCAACCATCAAGGCCCAATAGAAAGGCCCAACAATAAACCCAAGTGAAATTAAGGTTTCACATAAAATGATGATTAGGGTTAAGTTTCCTAC